ATATATATATATATATATAGTGTCATATTACCTCCGATCTTGGGCAAGTTGTTTGACTTCTCTGGGTCTAAATTGTGTGTGTGTTTGAGCTGGGGTTTGAACTCAGGGCCTTGAATATGCCAGGTAGGTGCTGTGCCACAGAGCTACACCCCTAGTCCTCTGGGTCTAATTCATGTATTATAAGGGCAGCATAATTCTTTATCTACGTAGAATGGTTTAGCAGTTAAGGGTATTGGCTTTCAAGGCAGAGGTCAGTGAAGTGCTTACCATGTAAGCCTAGGCATCCAGGTTCCATCACCAAAACGCACATAAAGAAGCCTGACATACTTATAATATCTGTGCTGGATTGGCGGAGCCAGGCAGATCCTGGGGGCTCACTGGCCCAGTGGCCTATTCTACTCTGTGAACTCCAAGCCAGTGGGAGACCCTGTCTCAAGAAACAAGGTGGACAGCAACTGAAAATGACACTTGAGGTTGTCCTCTGGCCTCCACATACACGCACACACACATGCATGTGTACCTCCCCCCACAACATACACATTCACAAAGTTAGTCCTGGCTGGTTTGAACCCAGTGCCTACTGATTACTGGTTTCATAACCTGGGGCAAATTTGTCTCTCTGTCTCCATTTCCGTTCTGTAAAACGGAGCTAGACGCCACACCTTCTTCAGAGGTTGTGTGAAGACAAAATGAGTTAATATACAAGTAAAGTATTTGGGACAGTGAAAGGGGTACAGGAAACTAAAAATGCTTCACGGCTTATTGTCATTAGTTAAAAATCAGGATTAGGACAGATCAGTTTTCCTCCAGGCTTGGCAAGAAAATTTTCTACTCCTGTTGACCTTCCCCACAGCTTCTTTCTCTTGCCCTTTCCTCTCTCTCTTACTTCTGAAATATAATAAAGAGTGCTCAGAGACTGACCAGATGCCCCCACCAGCTAGTTAGCCACCAGCATGGCCTCTTTTAGATGCCAACTCATCCATGGTGCTTTTCTTTCTAATTGGCCTTAAAGGGCTCGAAACACAGCCAACACTTAATACTGTGGCTTCCTCCTGTGGCTTCGGAGGCAGGCACTAATCCTTTTCCGAGAAGCTTAGCTTTTCAATGTCAAAGGATTAGAGGACACAAGGCAATGAAGTAAGACACTAATACAACCACATTAATGGCAGTGTTCTTGTGAATGAAATGGGTAATACCAGGGATATAAAAAGGGAACTGAATGCACAGGGAACTGGCACCAACCAAGTCTCTGACCCACAGTGGGATCTCAAGGCCTGTCCAGGAGCATGCCACAGTGCTGGCTGTGCAAATGTAGCCTTGGTAAAGATACAGGAGAGTGGGATGAAAGCTTGGTTCTTGAAGATGGGATTTCTTTTTATTTCTTTTTATTTTATGTGTATGACTGCTCTGCTGCATGTATATAAGTGAACCATGTGTGTGCAATGCCCACATAGGCAAGAAGAGGACATTGGATTCCCTGGAACTGGCATTTCAGGTGATTGTTAGCCACCATATGGGTGCTGGGACCTGAACCCGGGTCCTTTGCAGGAGCAGCAAGTGCTCTTAACTGTTGAGGCAGCTCTCCAGCCCTGAAGATGGGATTTCACATGGCCTCTCTGTGTTTTCCTGATTTCTACTTCCAGAGGAATCCAAGCTACCATAGGATGAAACCCAAACCCAAAACAGAACTCCTGCCTGGCTTAAAGAAAAATCTTTCATTTGTTTTCCTATTTAATTTCCTATATTCCTGGTTGTTTGTGCATGTTGAGAACCAACTTTTCTATAATAATTTGTGATATGCTACGACTTACTGTTCTAAAGTGGGGCGTACAGGCAGGAGCATTGCTCAGGGGAGAACAATCTATTTATGCAGTAACCAGAATATTCAGGGGTTATAAAAGTCAGCTGTTCACATCAGTTGCTGGTGGTGGGGCTGCTGCTTTACATAGGTGGTCAAGGTGGAAGGTATTTGGGCTGAGTTAGGAAGGAAGGCAGGGAGCAGGGGTTAGCTCTGGGAAAGAGGGCACAGACAGGAACAGCAAATGCGAAGTAGTGGGGATGAAGCCTGCTTGGTCTGTGGGAGGAATGCTGAGGGGATGTGCTATTGAAACAGCAGTAGCAAAGAAGACAAAAGCGCAGGGAGGAGGGGCCAGAGGCAGAGACCGAACCACACAGGGCTTGAAGCCTTGGGTTTCATTCCAGGAGGGCTGGGAAGAGCTGTGTGCTCACAAGTAACAATTTAAGTGATGGATGTTCTGTAGGGCACACTTCAGAAAACATTGTGTGAGGCTGGGGGACTCAGAGAAGTGTAAAATGCACAAAATGCAGCTTTTAGGAGCCCAGAGGGGATGGATGTAAGGCTGTGAGTCACATGGAGTGTGACAGTGGCACTCAGGGGTGTGCTGTTCACCATGAGCAATGGGGGTATGGCTCAGAGTTAACAAACTTAGAAACAAGATTCCAATCAACATCCCCCTGCTTCATGTGATTTTGGGCAGGTATACAGGACACAAGGTACATGGGTGAGATGTAATTTGCAGAGCAAATACTGCCTCTTCTGTTATCATCCAGTCCACCTAGGTATCTTTCTTGAACCATCTAACAATTAACGAAGGTGGCATAGCCAATCCAACAGGCACTCATGGAGGACCCCACACTTGTGACTCTCAAGGCAGCCTGGTGAGGAAGGCAGGTCAGGCATTACTTCTGTCCTCTGACATATAAGGACTGACAGTCAGAGAAGTTTGGCCCACATCACACATAACTGGTTGGTGACAACTCAGAACAGGATCAGCCAGAACTGTCTTGTCCTGGATTTGAGTTCTTCCCAGGACCAGTTTCTGTGCCTCCCAGCATATTGCTTTATCACAGAACACAAAAATAAAAAAGTTTCAAACACAGGGCACTGCTGAGTCAGGGGCTGTGTTACTTGAATGACATGGAATCAAGGCACCCTGCTTTGCCTCAGGGGAGTTGTCCTCTGCTTCCATTTGCTGAGTTAACATTAACCCTCAGGTTCTTCTTGCAAAGTTCTACATGAATTGTGGGAAACACACTCTCCATAGAAATGGTAGGAGGCCATTATTTCTTAAAAACCAAAGCATGCCTTGCTTTATAGAACTTAGTCTTGTGTAAGCCAAGGCCTTGATGCATTTGTAAACCAGATGAGAAGAAAGGAAGAAAGTGACTTACTAAGTAGACGTCGAGCACAGAGGCATTGTCATCTTGCATATCCAGAGCGTTCGGCTCAGCAGTTAAGTAGATAGTCCCCTCTTCCAAGGTGAATGTTGAACTGGAAGGCAACCCTTTACTGGGAAAACAAAGATGAACACTGAGCTGGTGGTCTCAGAAGCCAAAGTTACCTCTGAAGCCGTGGTTAAAGAGGCTGTCGAGATGGGGACTGCTGAGATGGGGGCTGCTGAGATGGGGACTGCTGAGATGGGGGCTGCTGAGATGGGGGCTGCTGAGATGGGGACTGCTGAGATGGGGGCTGCTGAGATGGCTCAATGGGTTAAGGGCATTTGCCACCAAACATGATGACCTGAGTTTGATTTCTGGGACCCACATGTTGGAAAGAAGAGAACACAGTCCTTCAAGTTGTCTTCTGACCTCCAGATGACAGCCATACACGAGATATGACATGTGCATATTCACATACATACACACATAAAATAAATGCCATAAAAACCCAAGAGTCCTAGGTGGTAGCTTTTGGGTTGAAATCTTTTTTGAAAGTCATCCTGCAGATGTGGCTATTTGGATTTAAAAAAATGTAGTTTTACTAATAATGTATTTTCTCCATCCTCCTCAGTACATGAGACAGTTCATAGCATTCGTGGGAGATGTATAGTTTCCCTGCTTTGTGAGCCCTGGGTGCTGTGTCTAGAGGCCTCTTGGTTGTCTCTGATTTTGAGTAATTGGTTTTCACTTTTCACTGCTTCTGTTATTCTCTCAATATTCACCCACAGCTATTTTACAGAGTTTAACCTTGTGCAGTTCTTCTACTCCCCTCCCTCCCTTCCTCCCTCCCTCCCTCCCTCCCTCCTTCCCTCCCTCCCTGCCTTCTCTTTTTTCCCTTCTTTTACTAGTAACTCTGTTTTGATGGGAAGTGGAGGCAGAAAATTCAGGACTTCAAGGTCACCTTTTGCTATAAAGAAAGTTGGAGGACTGCCTGGGCTACCTGAGACCCTATCTCACATCAATAACAAACAAAAGAATTATGTGGATATTGGGGGCTGGAGAGATGGCTCAGCAGTTAAGAGTACTGACTGCTCTTGCAGAGGACCCGGGTTCGATTCCCAGCACCCACATGGTGGCTACGAACCATCCTTAACTCCATCCAGTTCCAGGGGAATCCGAAGCCGTCTTCTGACCTCCGTGGCATTGCATGACACTGGTGCACTCACACTAACAACCATCTCTAACTCTAGTTCCAGGGAAAGTTGACATCCTCTTCTGACGTCTGAGGCATTGCACGATGTGGTACACTCACATACATTCAGGCAATACACTTGTACACATAAAATAAAAATAATAAATAAAATATTAAAAAAAATTATGTGGATATTAATAAAGTTTATTATTATTATTATTGATACAAGGTTTTACTATATAGTCCTGGCTGGTCTGGAACTCTCTATGTAGACTATGCTGGCCTTGAACTCACAGAAATCTACCTGTATTTACTTCCTGAGTTCCTGAGTGCTGGGATTAAAGGCTTGCTCCACTACACCAGGCTCATTTGGACTTTTACTAATAATAAAAAAACTAATAAGAAACTTGTAGAAAAACCTAGGGTGTAACTTGGTGGTACAGCACTTTTCTGGCACAAGTGAGGCCCTAGGCTCAGTTCTCAGCATATTAAAAAAACGGTTTGTTAGCCTTAGCCTTTAACGGCTGCTCTATTTGAGACCAACCGGTCAGTACCCAAGATTTATCTGCAGGACACACAGTAATTAAAAATGCCAGAATGGTGGAACTAACCTTCTTGGATGTTTAACAGACATACCTTGAGATCTATACTAATTGGGTCAGAGGGACACAAAGGACACTTTTTGCTCCTTGCCCTCCTAGGTCGATTAGTTCCCAGCGACTATGAGCATCTCGCAAAATGTCCTGTAATGGTGGTGGGTCATCTGACCTCTTGATCAAGGAGGCCAAGGAGACCCCACCAGATGGACTTGAACCAGTGTCCAGTCTATAAAGAGGAGGGTCAACACAGAGGAATCATTTCCTCCATGCTTCCAAGAGAAGCCAACAATGGTCGAGCAGGACCTTTGACTTATCTTCACATAGATGGAACTGGTAAAAGAAAGGAGCCAGGGGCTCCTCCCAA